CTCCTCCCATCCCTTCTGGTCGTGATCCTTATCGACTTCTCAGTCGCAAACTCTGTCCCCTGCTTTTTTCTGGTCCTCAAACTGCGAATCGTTGCCTTGCCCCGCTCGCCTTGTCTGGCGATGATCCTCTTGAGCTCCCCAGTCGCCAGCAGTGTCCCCCTCATCCCTTCTGGCGACGATGCTTTAGAACACTCTCTTTAGCAAAGGTTGTGCCAGTATGTGCCAGTCAACCCTTTTGGTATTCTGATTACGTAGCAGGCTCTGATGTCTCAGCAATTAGCGAAGCTGCCACCAGGACAGTTCGAAGCTGCTCGTAGACGGCCGAGTCATTGCTTTTGCAGGGACATTCCGGAGCGTAATGAGGCCGGTCAAGGTACAGCGATAGGACAAGGGTGTCGCTGTATGTGGGCCACGGTAAAGCAGAAGAACGCTGTCATCTTGCGGTAAGAAGCTTCATGGCATACATATGTGCGTGCAGCCACGCTGCTCGAACTCTCTAGACTCTGCTTCCTTATTCTGCCCTAGTTTTCGTGGCCTCTTCTCAAGTGGGCTCTAGCCGGGTCTGACTGTTACGACATGCATGCGAGCTCATAGTGGAGGAGAGCACGTTGCAGACATTCTTCGGCAGAGTGGGCACCGAGAAGCAAATCATGTCAATATGCATCTCATGGCAACTGGGTCGAACAATAGAGGTTCAGGTAGGACATGGTAGGACACATGCGTCGTATCTGTAGGGTTCTGTTATATATAAAGAGATACTGGTGTCGTCACGTGGAATACTTCGGCAGAACGTCCACAGTTGTGTGAGTTGTGTGTTTCTACCCGGAGGTTGCAGTCATCGGCGCCGGCTACATCGCAGTGGAGATGGCTGGGATTCTCCATGCCTTAGGATCAGAGACGCACCTGTATTTTCGTGCCTTGGCAAATGAGAACATAGGTACCCAGCTGCATTTCGATAGGATTTGACACGACAAGGCCAGGCTGGAAGTCGGGCAGTCAGATGTCCGCTCGATACATTCCGTGGATGTGCATCGCTTCAGCTGATGCTATTGCATTGTCGTACGTGCCATAAAACCATGGTGACAACCGCAGTCCGCCCTACCCAGAAGGAGAGAGCATCACCCCATACACGCACTCCTTCCACACCGCTGGCCAGGTGTGGGGCGCAGCTTGCACGGGTATTCCCATTGCTCCTTGAGGCCAACACACCACGGGTGAGTGCTGGTGAATGACAGCAGGGCGATGAGCTAACGCGCCTGTTGGGGAGCAAGCCAGCCAGGAAGGTGCTCTGGGCACCATGCATGGTAAGTCTTGCATCCTGGCCATGACCTCTCTGGGAGGAGGATGCTTGCTGTGGGGGAGGGGAGGCCGCCACCTGTTGTACACCGTTGCACTACCATGTAGCTTTGAGACACCTATGTGTTCAGAATTCGTTCAACGTCGGATCGCTACGCCGGCCTGTTGGCCGTGCTTCCATCGCAGTCCTCCTCATATTCAGACGCTGTTTTGGCTACAAGGTTCCAACAGCGCATTGGGCCGTTAACGGATCTGGGAAGGATGCTTAGAAAGATGTACAAGCAGAAAGTCTTGGTGACCCGGACATGCTGTATTCAGCAGCGGCATGTGGTGGTCTCAAGATGTCTGCAGTCTTTGGTGCAACACATGTTCCTCCGTTCTTTGGCTGTGGCCGGTGGCTTTTCAGTTCCTGCATGCTTGATGTCGCGGTCCGCGATGGGCAGGAAGGTGCTCCGGGCACCATGCATGGTGACCTCTCTCTGAGAGGAGGATTCTCGCTGTTGGGAGCACGGGGAGGTTGGGTTCACAAGTTTCCGATGCACCTGTTGCAGCAGCCCGCAGACTCTCTGCCCGTTTCACGAGATGTGTCTGCGCGTCGTCCAAATGTCGTTTGGAGTGCAGACTGTGCAGCAGAATCCTTGTAATCACGGACGCATTGATGACGGGCTTATTACTGAGCAAGTACTCGCCCATGTTGGCGTCTAGTTATGTAAGTTATGTAGTAGCGTTGATTGCCGTAGCTCCCCATGCTCGAGTCCTGAGGTGGTGACACAGTGCTACGTCGTGGCTTCGATCCCTTCATTGTGAAGCTCTTGATGGAGGTTCGCAGGCCTTAGGAATGCATAAACAAGCGATTCGGCGGTGCATGCTGCAGGCCTTGGAGCATCATGGCCCCGTGTTGCACCGTCACTTAGACTGTCTTAATTAGCTGATCTGGTGCCGAGTGCTTTTTCTTTCATGTCTTGGCGGTTTGGCACCCTTGGTTGCAGTGGGCCGAGGAAACAGCCAGCCTTCTCGCATCACCAAGCAAAGCAACGGCTTGCTTACCTACACTGCAACCGAGGGCTCGAATGCTGAGCAGAAGGATTACACTGACTTTGACTCTCGGACCTTGACATTGCTACAGGTCGATCGCGTGACCAGTAGAATTCCAAATGTGCTTGCCTAGGATTGTATACTTCTCGCCATTGGGCGAAAGCCTGTGACGGCCGCCGCGCAGAATTGGCAATGCGTCTGGAAAGCTGCAGGGGTACCTTCCTTTTCGCGACTTGCCTCACGCCCCCGTCAAGGATCAACTGGGCTTGCAGAAGTGCGGGGTGCGGACAAATAAGTCAGGCCGACTGAGTGCAGACTTTGTGGTCATAGACCGAATCTGAAGTCTCCAGGTCATGTCGTGGTGGATGCTTTCGAGAACACGAATGTACCAGGACGGGCCCTGATCGATACGAGTCGGTACATGAAAAGATCTGCAAGGAATCTATGCCATTGGAGATGTCCCTCGGTTTGGACTCTTCCTCGGTACAAGAGTCCACGTTTCCTACTACTCCGAGGCTACGAGCACCGGCTTCGAGCTGACGCCGGTGGCCATTGCCGCGGGCCGGCGCTTGGCAGATCGCCTCTTCCTGGGAGAAGGTCGGATTAGGAGATATTAGGAGGTCTCTTTTTCGTGTTCAAGTTCGTTGTGTTACCACACTTCCTTGTCGCGGAGCTGGAGAAAGTTTCAAGTTTGCTTTGCTTTCCAGGTCGGGCACGGATAGCCTATGAGCAGATCGCCACGGCCGCTTGGAGAGTTGGGTTCGACGCAACTTTGACGTCTTGAAATGTTGAAGAGGCCATAGAGAAGCCCGGCGCGCAGAGGTCGTCTTCAGCCACCCTCCCATCGGCTGCATCGGGCTGACAGAGCCGCAGGCGAAAGCCGAATTTGGCGAGGTGCCTATAAGCCTTCGAGCTGACGTTTTCCGTGCATGGTTGCTGTCAGCAGAGAGTACGGCAGTTCGGGGAGTGCTTGGTGCCACCAGAAGGCCAACGTGAAGGTCAAGCAGTCCAGCTTCGCGAGCATGCTGTGACTGGGTGCAGAGCAGAGATCCATGCATGGACATGTCGGCCTCCCGGAAACCTCGCCATGACGAAGGTATGCATTCAACGAGGACGGCAAGAAGGTGCACCAAACAAACACAGCGTGAACTTCCTGTCCTGTGGAAGTGCTGCCACAGGTCAAGACCGGTCTGAAGCTCGTGTTGAAGATGCCGGAAGAATCCTGGCGTTTCAGGAAGGCAGACTACGCATGCGATGCAGACTGGGCAGGGCTTGGCTTGGCTTAGGAGCGCGTGGTTGGTCTGCACTGCATTGGCCCTTACTCCGATGCTTGGAGCGCACTCGGTGTCTGATGATGCTTTCAGAAGTTTTTCATGCTTTTCACACACTTGTTGTCGTCGTTGTTGTTGCAGTTACTGCTACGGCTGCTGCTGCTGTTGCTGGTGCTGCTGTTGCTGTTCTTGCTGCTGCCGTTGCTAGTGCTGCTGCTGTTCTTGCTGCCCGTGCTGCTGCTGCTGCTGCTGCTGCTGCTGTTGTTGTTGTTGTTGTGCCACAATTCAAGGTACCGAGCGCATGCAGGGAAGGCAGCTAGCAGCAAGCCGCCTGAAAAAGTAGGAAGCCACGACGAAATTGCAAGTGTGCCACTCACAAACGAGTTCTTTTTGCTTTTTTTCTCAGGCCGTCCCTTGTAGCCCGAGGACGAGATGATGCAGGGGTTCGCTGTGGCCGTGCGCATGGGGGCCACGCGTGCGGACTTTGAAGCTCCACAGCTGCAGACATCTGCAGACATTGCTGACAGCGCTGACAGCGCGGTGCTGACTTTGAAGCTCTCCATAGTCTCCATTTGGGACCTGTCAGAGGCCTCTGTCGCCATCCATCCAACCATCGCTGAGGCGAGGCGAAGTCAAGAGCCTTTGCAAGCCTCTGTCACGTGCTCTCACTGCGAGGAGTTCGTGACCTTCGGGGGCTGGGGCCAAGAAAGGAACGGAGACCAGGTACGGGCTACCATCCAGTGTTTGACAAGCCCTAGGCTTTGCGTATTTTTGCATGTTGTCAGGTTCGTGCACAGCTGCCACCGTACCTGAAGCCCAAGCCAGTGTGCTGGCCTTAATTGGAGCCTTGTTCCTCAGTCTTGGTCTTGTTGCTGGTGCGTCGTCGCGGCGTTTCAGGCTCTCTGACTTCGCCACAGGGGCAGCTTTGGGCGCTGCAGCGGCGGGAGCGATTGCTGCCGCAGTGGTGACAATGGTCCTCGCCCGCTCCAGCAGACATTGATGTGGTGGGACTTGCCTCTTGTGGATGGGCTTGAATTGGCCCAGACGGAGGAGAAGCAAGACCTGCTGCAGCAGAATCCCATCATAGATTTGACATGATTTGACATGACAGCTTTGTTGCGCGAAGTATCCCTGTGAACTTCCGTTTCCGCCACAAGAGCGGGAATCGCCATCCACCCAACAAAAAGCATACCAAAGGGTGATGAGAGCCAGGCTTGTGATCGGCGTGCAGGTCCAGCCTCACTTCAAAGGCTATGAGCCTTACAATGCCTTGCAGCACCACGTAACTGTCCTCAGAAGATAGTCGCGCGGATTTGCAATCTGTTCTTCGACCGCTGGGCGTGCCGGGAGCGGCTGCCTCCCCTCTGCGCGACAAATTCAACTTGGACGCTCGGGCAGGTGTGCAAGCTCCTGGACGAGGTCAACCACGCATTCAGCCAGCCTGAGTGAGCCTTCCGTGGAACTGCTGTGTAACAGCATTGCGCACAGTCACCCCACCTCGAACCTCGTACCTCAGACTCAACCTCTTTCGCGTGGGCGCAGGTAGCGGCCTGTCTTCGCAGCCATTGGCCCACTGACAGACTCCAAGATAGAAAAGACTGGAAAAAAGCTCAAGATATCAGTCCGACAGCACCTGAAGTCCAGTAGCTTTGAAGCCGCTAAATGGTATTGGTAGCGGCTGCGGGAAGCTCTGATGGCCCTATGAGGCCAGGCAGATGCACGGGCTAGGAATGACTGAGGCAGGTTTGTGTGGCAAGGAGGGCCAACATGTCAGACGGCTGTTGTTGCTCCGTCGTCTAGTCCGTGTCGCCCAATGCCGCCGTTCGTCATGAGCTCTGCCTCGTTCCCTCAGGTCGCAAAGGTCGCAATGTGCGAATGGACTGCACATCGCGAGACTGGACCGCCTCTCTCAGCCTCTCAGGCTGCGAAACGTGATCTCAGCGCTAAGGTCTCTAGTTCTCCTGCAGTGTGCCGTGTCAGGCTCGGAGCTCCCATGGCCACCTCCGTCGTCCCTTGCTACTTGGCACTGCGGATCAGCATGCACGCGGCACTATAGGCGGTGCTCAAAAGTGTAAGACAGCGAATGCCAAGGCCTCCAGCGTCGGCACTCGGTGCTCTGCAGCTTGTCAGAAAGCGTTGCAGCTGAGAGCCTGAAGCAGCAACGCGCTGTGCTTCAGGCACCGGAGGCCACGGCAACGCCCGAGGCAGGCAGAACAGCGGCACCGGCGATGGCACCGCGACTCGAGCCCGCATCTGAGACTACGAGATGCGAGAAAGGAACTGCGAAGGGGCAAAGATGGGCGAAGGCTTGCAGCAAGAAGTGTAGCGGCGTAGCGGCGGGGTAGCGGCTGTCTCTCCGAGGCTCGAGCTCGTGGAGCTGGCCAGGCCAACAGGGCCTTAGCGGCTAGCGCTTTGTCTTTTGCCGTGCGGGTGGGCACCAGCGGCGCAAAGAGGCAAACTCGGCAAACCCGACAGGCGTTTCCGCTTGCTGCGTATCGTTGCCTCAAGTTTCCTCAGTTGGCAGAAGGAGGCCAACCCGCTCTTCAATTGTCTCCATGCACCACTCGGCCCCAAGACCATTCTTGTCCGGAGGCACTGCGGAAGCGGCCAAAGCGGCACAATGAGCGACGCCAAAGGCAATGAGACAGACACAACCTGTCACAACTTCTCTGTGCCTCTCCTTAAGAGCTGGACACCGAGCTGCGTCAAGAGGCTGTGTTTGGCATTGCGATGCTGGCAGCGGCGAGGTGGCTGCCGGAGGCGAGCCATTGCTTCCTTGGCGTCGGCCTTGGTGGCCGTCTGGTTCATGAGCGATGGGCTGCGCTCGGCATTGTCAGGTCCGGGCGGCACAGGGTCCCTTGCATCGTGCCCTGGTTCGGTGGCTTGGCCTGGCTTGGCTCTCACCCGCCGGCATTCGCTGGGGTTTTGCATCGCAGCACAGGTTGCAGCAGCCCGTCCTCTTCCGGCGAGGCAAGGCGGCAAGGGCGGCGCTTCTAGAGGCCGGAACGCCGGGTGGCGAATGCTTCGCTGCCGGTTTCACTGCTTTGTGGCACCGAATTTCTGATGCTAGCCCAGTCTTTTGAACTCGTGGCAGATTATTCATCGACGCACGCAGCGTTGCTTGGCGCAGTGCTGGTTCGCAAAGGCGGCGAGCTTCATGCGACTTTCTGAAGTGGAATCGCATGGAAGGTAGGGTGAGACGGAAGTGCTTGATGCATTTCGTCACTTCTTAAATTGAGAATGTGCAGGTTCTACTTCGTTCAGTCGCGGACTCGGGGTGCAGCAGATTTGCGGAACATGGCGAAATCTCACTTCACCGAGGGCATGAAGGAAAACGTTTGAAGGGCTGAAAAGTCTCCTCTGAGGCCTTTGTCGTCTGGAGACCGGCGCCGATGCAGAGGCCGTTTCACATGCTGCGCCGCTGTGCTTTTGGACATAAAACATCTTCCACGGCCCCGAAGGCCGAGGCAGGAGCTTTCTGGAGAACCGCAGGCAGGAGATCGTCACTAGCTAGTGAGCGCTACGAGCAAGCGACCGTCCAATTGACGCAGGTAGAGGGTCTGCCTTCTTCGCCCTTTGTGCTGTCCGACTCCGCCTTCTCCCGTAGCCAGGCGCCGATCTTCGCTTTCGGCGTTAAGCCACGATGTAGAAGTCAATTCCCCAGAGGGTTGTCTTGCACAAACTAAGAAAGACACGCGTATGCACAGTCGTCGTGCTACCCCCACTTCTCATTCTGCATTCTTGGGCGGGAAGTTATGTTTCCTGTGCACCTACATGTGGCAGGACCCGTTCAGTTCTGCACACTACCAAACACCATCAAACAACTGAACGATCTGCCATCATCAACTCCACCCTGCAGGTAGGAACAAGCACTTGCAGTCGTTTCATGTGTCGGCTCGACCCCTTGTTTGCAGCATTCCTTTGGCACACCACTCGTCGTCCGACTCGTGGGTACCGGGGGTAGATTTCGCTGCAGCTGCTGGCCTCGACCGGCGGGCGCCACCGGCGGCACCAAAACGCTGTTGCAATGGCATTGGTAGAGCGATGAATCGAGCCGTCCATGGCCAGCACCCACCGATTTTCTCCCTGAAAGATTCGTCATGAAATTGTAGATAATTCCAGTCAACAGAGATGGTGTATGCGTTGGCTAGGCCATGTTTTTGGGAAGAATAGGGAACGGCTGGCACCGGTGGCTGGGGTGCCTGCCGACACGGACATGCCCTGCGTACCCCACAGCTCATCGACCTCACCCCGTCACACTTTAGACTTTAAGCCAGTCAAACAGTCAAACTAGATGAGTCAAACCACAAACGTGACGACCTCCTGTCGCAAAGACGTGATGTGCAGAAGGCATGACCTGTGGGCTACGCTTTCATGCTTGCTGTCCAAGACCACTTGTTGAAGCACAGCAAGTCGTTTAAACTCGGTAGTGTGGACCAGATAAAGATATCTTTTTGGTGCACTCAGATCGAATTCTAAATACTTCAGAAGCCTGCATTTCCCCGAAAATACAGGCGGCCGGCGGAAACGCTCCCGGCGCGGGAACGCGCCCGCTTAACGAGCTGCATCAGGCCTTGTACACGTGGCAAGTAACGAAGCCTGACCGTGGCCTCAGCAACACGCTCTAAGAACGGTTGAAAGAACAGTCGTGCAGGCAGAAACTTGGCAAAGTTCCGGTCTGCCCCATTCGCTGCTCGGACGGGTCAGTTGCAAGGCTGGACGCGGTTTAGATGTAGCACAATATCTCCGAACTCGACAAGAGAAAGGGGGCTTGGTGTCTCCCAAAACCATGATGCAGTGAGCAGCAGCAGTGGCAGTAGCCGTAGCAGTAGCAAAAAGTAGCAGGAGCAAGAGCGGTAGCGTCAGCATTGCAAATAGCAGTAGTAGTTATCGTCGTCATCGTAGTCGTAATAGTGGTGGAGCAGGGTGGCCGGGTTAGCAGGGGGAGGTAAGGTCTGGGGTAACAGTAGGAGGAGTCGGATTGGGAGTCTTGGTCGTAGTCGTAGTGGAAGCGGTAATGGTTGTGTCAGTGGAACTGGTAGTCGTAGTGTCGTAGTGGTTGCAGAAGAAGTAGTGCGAGATGCACGTGTATTAGTTGAGCAGCCGATGAGTGCGAATGCAAACAAGAGGAACATTGGTGCATGTCGCCGCACACTAGTTCGAGTTACGAGTTCAATGCCAAGCAGCGCAAAGAAGTGATTCTTGATCCCCAACCCGAACCATCAATCTTGTGCCCTGGGCACGTGATTTACCATTGGCCCGTGCCTGCTCGCACTATTCTGTGTTGGCTTTGCTGATACGAACCCCTCCTGAACATCTACATGAGTAGTGACAGCAGGAGGAAGCGCCGCATGAATGACCAGTGATCGTTGGAGAAGGAGGAAGTAGGAGTAGGCGAAGGTTCACGACTAGCAGCTGAGTAGCAGGGAGGACGAGCAGCAAACAGCCGTCGCACAGTAGGCAATGTGCGTCGTACATCCTTACATGTAGCCATTAACTGGGGCATGTTGAGGCCGGACTCCCGCTCCAGACAGCTCAGACAGGCGCGGTACCGCGCAGCTTGATGGTATTCACAAGGGCTGGCTTTGTTTGCTAGCGTTCAACAGGCACAGTGTAGACCGTGAGCTTGCGTGCGGCACACACCGTTGTACATCATGAAATGCCGTCTTAATCAAGCAGCTGTTGACATCAGCTCTCACTTGTCTTTCTCTGTTTCCAGACAGGATCGACTGCCGCCGCTGCTCCTAGCTTAAGGTTGCAACGCACACAGGTGCCAGGCCCTCCAGAGCCAGTGGCAAGCCAACCACGGAGCGTGCTGCTCCGAGTACAGCAGGACTGCAGATATTTGCCGAGCGGTCTAAGCATGTCTGAGCATTCTCCGCACGTGTTTGAGGAGGGATTCCTTCGATGGTGGCGTGCAATTCGGATGGACCTCGGCAGCGAGGACCGGAAGAACTGTCACACGTATTGCGCACAAATTCGCATTTGGCAAGCCAAGCGTGTGCTGGAGCCTGCATTGAGCGCACAGAGCAGTTGGAATTCTTGTTGCATGCAGGAGCTTGCAGAGCAGCGGCGGAAGGCTGCACTCCTCGCATTGCTCTTACACAGTCGACCGTAAGGAGACCACCTATACTTGACATGCTTAGGTTTCCTTTTCTTTGGAGTGGTACTTGCACTTTCTTTTGCTGTGGTGGGCGACTCTGACTATGCTGCTGCACCGACTTTATCTGTCACTGACTGTATTGCAGATGTTGTGCTCACCTCTGCCCCGCTGTCTTGGGTTTTTGCTACTGCCGATATGTCCACAAACCTTCGAGAGATGAGCTGTTCGCAAAATCATGCTACGGCTAATGACATACACAAACACGGAACAATGGTCAGAGTTCAACAACTGCCGGAGTCAGTTTCTGCCTGACGCGCGGAGCCCAACAAATTTCAACAATCAGTCGTCCCTCGTATATATCATGTGTTTTCGTCCAATGCTGAGCATCAACAGCAAGAGCCACGATGGTAGTATCAACAAGTATCAATCGGCAAGCATTTGCATGATACGCACGTTTCTGCTCTTGTCGGATCTCAGTATACCTATGACAAGTACCAGTTTTCAAATTTACACACGCTTTCCCAGTTATATTTCTCACGTGATGATGCTAAACTGCCATCCAACCTGCTTCATCTTGCGTGGTAGTTTTCGTCTGAGAAGGTCACCTGCCCTCTCTACAAAACATGTCTGCATACGGGCTTGTTGCATCTATCAGCTCGAGGATTCAGCAATGTGGCCGTCACCATGCTTGCACAATTCGCATCCGAATCGAGGTTCTTTTGCGTCAACGTTCTCAAAGTATGATCGCAAGGAGCTTGGCAAAGGAGCCCTGCTGGAATTCTGTCGAGTGGAGTGGTCCACTCCAGGCTTTCCGACACTATGTGGCAGCGCTGCAAAGAAAGGCCAGTGCCCAATCCGGCAAAGGGCAAGCCATCACCCACAGAGCTGCAGGCCGTGTCTGGCTTCCAGCATGCTGCAGACGATGAGGAACGCGGTCTTAGCAGGTTTTGGCCTGGTGCGTAACAGCAGCCTTTTGAGGCGATGTCCCGAAGGCTCCCGATGAGGCGTGCCAAGTCGCGGTGCGCGAACCGTGCATCTCACAGGACGCATGTAGGCGCCACGGGTGTAACACCCACTTCCAGCTTCCCGCGGGTGCGACCTCGCACGCAGGAGCCAGGGTTTGCGAGGGATGTCTGCTGCAGAGGTCATGCGCAAGGCACTGTCCAGGCATGCAAGGCGAAAAGTGTGTGCAGCTGAAGTTGCAGGGTTGGCGGCGCTGGCGATTTGCTGCGTTGTCCGGTCAGCGCGTCTGCTCCTCAAAATGGGTTTGGGTCATCCGCGGCAAGGGCCCGCTCGCAGCGTGCTCGCAGGTTGTTTGCCAGCTCGAACGACCTGCAAATGTGACACTGAAGCACCGCGCTGAGGGCTTCCTAGCTGTTCGAAAGTCCGGTTTACGCCGGCCGACCTACGCCACGTCGCCCCGCTTGGCTTGACATTTCTTGGAGACCAGTTGTGGCACATTCGCAAGAGAGGGGCTTCAACCAATAGATTCCAAAACGAGCTGGTCGATGAGTAGCACCCAGTGGTAGCAATGGACTGAAACATGAATATATATATATATAGATATAGGTATGTATGTATGTATGTATGTATGTATGTATGTATGTATGTATGTATGTATGTATGTATAATATATATGTAAACACACACACATATATATATATGTATATATATATATATATGTATATGTATATATATATATATATTCATATTCATATATATTTATATTCATGTGTATAAATATATATATATATATACATTTATAAATAAATAAATATATATATATATATATGTATATGTATATGTATATATTTATATCTCTTTCTCTCTATATATGTATATATATATATACACATTTATAAATAAATAAATAAATAAATAAATAAATATATATATATATATATGTATATGTATATATTTATATCTCTCTCTATATATATATGTATATATATACACATTTATAAATAAATAAATAAATATATATATATATATATATATTTGTGTATATCTGTATATCTACATATATATATACACACTTATATATATATATATACACTTATATGTATATATACACTTACTGAGAGGACGAGAGCAATCTGGTTTGGCTAAACCGGCTGAAGGTCTTCACAAGCAACAGGAGCTGGGTTTCATCGGCGGATCTCACCGATGTTGAGGTTGTGCCAGATCGCATCGGAGATCGATTCCTGTCGGAGCAAGGCATGCAACAGAAATGCATAAGTCTTCAAACTCGAAGTCAGGGCGGCATTCGAGCAGGTTCCACAACCACTTGCAAAGTGCTCTCACAGGCGCATGGCCTGGAGCCATGTACGCGACTGCCACGGTCGTCGAGTGTGGAAGAGGCACCTTTCCGAAAAATTCCTGCCGGGTATTTCTTGACTTCAGTCAGTGTTTCATCGAATCGGTTGTGGGATTCAGCAGTTACGGCTCCACACTACGGAGGCCTGGTCTGTTCTGGCCTTGCCACCTCCAGCAGAGGCATGATCCGCCGAGTAGTTCTTGGCGGAGTCGAGTCGCACCAACCCTCACAGGCAGCACCAGAGGTGCCGGAACATCTGCGGCTGCTAGAGCAGGCAACAGAGTGCAAAAGAGACGCACAAGCAACTGAGCGTTGCACAGAGCATGCGCGCCCTGTGGGATCCTTCTAAAGGCATTGGTAGCCTTCGATGACGAGCAGACCGGCTGGTTGGGTCGTCTCTTGCCAGCCAGCGTTGAGCAAGAATGAGCAAGACTCGAGACTACGAGCTCTCCAATTTAACTAGACCGCCTTGAGGCACATCCAAGGGAGCTTCGCCACCCTCTGTCTTGTGGGAGCATGCTGGCACGGTGCTGCAGGCCCCACGCGAGATTCAGATCTAGTGCTGAGCTGTCTCTCCGAGCACATTTTAGCTGCCCAGGGTGCCGGTGGTGCAGGCAATGCAAAAAGCGCGGGGAGGCGAGCTCAAGAGCAGGTCCGTGTGCTTGTCAGTGAGGCAGACTCCGCGAAGCAAGGTGGCCTCCCGATGTCGTTTGGTCTCCACCGCGACCTTCCCGTCCTCCAAGAGGCCTGCGCACAGCGCTTTCCGTTCTCCAAGCTGCTTGGAAGCATCGAAGACTTGGGCAGGCACCGAGGTCTGGAAGGACGGCCTCTGCAGCACCGACTCCACCCGCGCAGAGGAGAGACGGTTCTTATTGCACAGAACCAGCGTATGTTTGTGCCTGGATCAGGATGCGCCTGGCATCTTGCCGGATCCGCGCTTTGTGCCGCAGCGGACCGAGGTCAAAGAGAGCTACCAGGCGAGATAGCCAGGCCGTGGTGCCTTGCATGACTATCCTGCCGAGTCTGCTCGTTGCCACAGACCCTTCGCGGCCGGATTCGCACTAGCCGCACATGGGCTCGCTGACGAGAGAGCCAGCGATGTTTGCTTTTAACGATTTTGCTCACCTGACCTGCAGCCATGCAGGCCGAATAAAGGCTTGCTTCATTGCGCAGGGGCCGATTGCATGTTCTTATGCTGATCTGATGATTCTGAGAAATAAGCGAAACTGCCGGCCTGTTGGCTAATGTCCACCCACGCAGATTGACAGAGGAGCAGCATAACGTGGGTAGAAGTGCACGAGGGAGTGTGGACCCTGACAAGCGGTCCCACCTTGTCGTTCTTTTGAAGCTGCACAGAGCAACGATTGGCAATGTTGCGATCTCAAGCCATGCAGAGCCTCAAAGGAGGGCTCTGAAGCATGCCGACGAATCCAAAGTGGTTCGAGGTAAACCGTTCAGCACGCACGAAGGAGGGGGGGGATATGCAGCTTCTCACGAGAACGATTAGAGAGCATGAAGCAATTTTGATCACGAAGGGTGCAGGGCAACAGTGTTTCATACTTGGTTTGTTTGTCTATTCGTGCGAATGCGAAGGGTTTCTTCTGGGTCAGTGGCCTGCAGTACCGACAATGCAGCTCCGTACGGGTTTTCGAGTAGGCCAGGATGCGCTGTTCCAGATGTAAAGGGGAAATAGCTTCAATTGTGCCAGGTACCAGAAGGCTGCTGAAGGCTGTGAGGATCGTCGAAGTTTACTGATCTTCAACGCAATTCAGTACGGTACGCGATTGTATTTATCGGATGAATTTTGTGTGTCCGACTTGAATTGGAAGTATCAGTCTTGTTGATGTCTTGTTGGCTTGCAGCACTTCAAGATGCTGCGCCAGCTCAGCCGAGGAAGGAGACCCGGAACATCCAGTTCGAGGTGGGCACGCAACACCTCGAGCCAGGGGAGTGTATCAGAACAACAACAGTAGCAAGTAACAATAGGCAGATGAACCCATGCACATGAATGAGTAAATGAATATGCTTATACATAACCGCATCAATCACGTGTACACCTAACATGTGGTTCACACTCGTGTAACGTCTGATGTTCACGCGAAGCTCAACCGTTGCTTCATCACTGTAGGATTAATGCTTCAGTCTACTAACGCCGCCTGGGCTGAATAGAGGACCCAGGAACGGTCATATCATTCACAACAGTCATGCCTCAATAAAGGTTAGGTCAACTTACATGTAGTTCATACTTAGCTAGAACTCAAGCGGATTTAAACGATTTTAACTGGACTTTTTCGTTTGCACTTAGTATAGATCGTTTCGAAAATCCTTGTAGTAAGTTAATGTGTCTGTGAGTAACATGTTTAGATTTTGTCGTTAGTGATTAACTTGTTCACGTTCTCGTAATTGCTCTTTCCTCAACCGAGGGGGATTGTCCAAAACAAATGAGTGTTCCACAAGCTGCAATGTTTGACTAGGTGCATTTTACTTTTTACTCGTCATTGGATCATGTCAGAAAGTGTTCAGGAAATACTCATGATAATGATAGTCGAAGTGGAGATCCTACGTAACTGTCTACTTGCCAACAAGCAAGCTGCTATCAAGTATGGGATGAGACAATTGATGTACTACACATGAGCGCTTGTCAGACATGTTTTCAATGTAATGTTAATTGTGGTCACATTGTCTCCAACAGCAGCGACTATTGTAAAGCACAGTCGTGAACAGTCTGCGATCTGGGGAATGTGTGGTATGAATCAGGCGAACAACTAAAGTTGATTTGACGATGAGATCATATATGATTTGACTGTCACATGTGTAGGTGTATTGTTTGAATGTTGGATTTTGCACGAAGCTTCAAAATACAATTGAAGCGGTGTTGTGGCTGCGATAGGCAAACGGCGCCAGAGTGCAGCCATACATTTGCCTTCTTGAACGTCTGCAGAAGTCCACGCAGCCTTTCCAAAACCTTACGGTGGAAAGACAAGGGAACTGGGCTGGGCCTCGTAGGAGAGCCGAACGACAGACAACAGAACGTGACTGAAACAGAAACCAAAAATGCCTGACAGAAAACTTAGCGAGCTATTTAATTGAACAGAAAACGCCTCGGAGACTAACTCTTGGAAGCCCGCAATACAAACACATGAAATCTGTGGTCTTGTCTCCCGACATCCCGTGAAGCAGGTTGTTTGTTTTGTTATCGCTAAGGTATTTGGCGGCTGCGCTTTTAATTTCAATTGTATTTTTTTGGTTTGTGTGGCGGGGGCAGCCGGCATTTCCATCATGCCAAACCTTATGCAGTCCTCCCAAACACAAGCCCTTCCCGTCAGAGTCCACAGTATCTGTAACATCAGACAAAGTCATGTTGCTTCTTTTCGTGAGTCACGGCAACTAGTCACTCGTAGCGAGATTTTCACTGTGTGTGGTGTAGCTGCTGTAACGTTTTGTCAACATATCCTCTTTAGTGTATGCCAATAAGTTTAGATCCAGTCGTTGCCAGGTTGTTAGTTCAAAAGTAAGTCAAGTCGAATTTAGAGTGTACCCAAGTTGGCCAGTCTACGGCTTGAGTAGACCCTCAAAGATTCTCAAGTATCCTGGTTCAATGCCAATGTCAGCATGCCTCACCAAGCAGATGATTGAAGTATGAAAGCCTGACAAATCGAAGCTGTCCCGTTGTTTTAGAACAACAAAGAAAGAGCTGGCTGGGCAGCACATGACATATCAAATCTAGTTAGCAAGCTAGTTGTTTAATTGACACGAGAGATGCTTCCGCACGGTTTCAGCAAAGCTAACTGTCTGGGCACTACTGAATTCATCGTGCGGACATCTTTTTTTGTTGGCGCGAAATTGAGAAGTAGGCTGTTTGCCTGATAGTTCGAGAAGCAGTTCTGGCAGAATTGAATGCTCATGTGGTGTCTTGTCTGGGCCTGATGTGTGCAATTGACTGCGCATCTCTGATGCCAATCTTCAGAATGCCAAGCTATGCAAGTGTGGCTTCTGCATCTTTAGCAAAATACACTTCAAGATGTGGTAGCTCTATTGAAAGGCCGAAGTGCAGCTATAGCTTACGAAAATCTGCAAAATCAAGACATGTCTTTTCCAAATCAAGTTAAGGATTAGATCCGTTACATTTTGTTTCCAAAAAAGCGTGGTGCCCACGGCTTCCAACCTTTAAGAGTAAAGAGTATTGGTCAGTGACACCGCGGCGCTCGCATTCTATTTATACAAGAGAGCCAGATTCACGGGCTGCCTTTTGGCTTCGAAAACCTTGAATCTCGCCCAAAATTCAGGGGAAGCATCTTCATTGGGCACCCTCCTGAATTCCGCCGGAAGACAGGAGGAAAGCAAAATCCGTCAGATTTGGCAAGAGAATTGCAAGCAAGACTTCAACAGCTTGTACAACTAATTGCAAACAAAATAGAGTCGTAGCATCAAGGTTGTCAGTGTTGCATCGACCACTTTGTTCAGAAAAAGCGTTAGCTGTTTGTCCTTTTGTCAGGTCTCGTACTGCGATCACGTGCTTGAAGCAAGTTATCACTCGATTAGTTTCTCTAACGTAGCTTCCTCGGTCATTGTCTGTAGAGTAGGTCGGTAGGCAGGGGTAGGCACAGTCCCTCCACCCCTTCCGTGCTCTGTCACCGTGTGAAGAAACTACACACATTCCAGGAATTCAGAATGAATCAAGGCGACTGCCGATATACACATGCTCCCCCCTCGGAACTTCAAAGCCTAACGTTAAGCCTGGACCATACACCAGAAACCTAAACGTAGGAGGATTGGTGGCGGTATTGCGGCACTTCGTGCTAGTTCTCCGGGGGGAGGCTTGTATGTATAAATATATATATATATATATATGTATGTATTTTTGTATGTATATATGTAGCAAGTAAGTATGTGTGTGTGTATGCAAGTAAGTATGTTTGTTTGTGTGTCTACATATGTGTATTTATTTGCATGTACGTGTATGTATGCGCATGTATGTGCATGTATGTGTATGTGTATGTGTATGTGTCTGTGTATGTGTATGTTTGTATGCATGGTATGTATATATGTATGCATGATATGTATGTATGTATGTATGTTCACAACCACATATACATGCATGCGCACGCGTACGGATGGAACGTGGGATCAGGCGGAGCACTGCATTCCAACATCCGTTGTTTACGGTCCACCTTTGCAGAAGCGTTCCTGTGTCGCCAACCATGTCAGGTCCTCCCCAAGTACGGCATCGAAGCCACAGAGAAGGGTACTTCCATCATGGCCGCGTGCTAGACCCGGTCATTCATGCAATTCCTGCTTCTGACAGTGTCTGACAGACTTCAGACTGATGCTTAGAGGGGACGCAAGAAGAGGTGGATCAGCTCGGCTCAAAACGGCATCAAGGACGTGGAAGTCTTGCCGGCTGAACTTGATAGGTCTTGGTACGCCATGTCGCCTCGTTGCAGCCTGTGAACATTGTTGCTTTGCTGCCAGGACAAGGTCGCAGCCTCCATGCATTTGAGCCGTATAGCTTATGCATCCAAGCTTCCCTTGGCGAAGAACAAGGCGAAGGAGGCCTTGCAGCGGATACCGCAAAACTTGGTCGACATCGGGGTAGTTAAGCGGCAGACGAGACTGATCATCAGATCAGCACAGGCTGTGCCGACACCTGCGCAAACACCCCAGACGCAGGCCACGGCCATGTTGCTCAGGCTCAGGAGACCGGGGATCCGGTGTCATTCCGTCCTGCATGTGCCACCGTGTGTCAGATTGGAGTGTCAGATCAGAGTTAATGTTCAACATCTGGGTATTCTTGGCGTGCCAGTCCGTGGCAGTGGAACGTGCGCCTTTTCCCGAGAGGAAGGCCGTGCCCGACTCGCCCGACCTTTTCTTGTCGTGGTGGCCCTACTGAAAGCGCTCTGATGCAAGCCGTGGAGGCGTCGGCGCCGCCGGGGAAGCCTCCGCCTGCGGTCGCTCAGGCAGCATGCTGCGCATGCTTGTGGGTTTCATCTGCTCGGAATGTCGTACTGTCGCAACAGGGTGCAAGTTTGAACGGTGTCGGGGCAGGCAAAACCAGCCCAATCGTTGTGTTGCATTGAGGCACCGCCAAAGGCCACTCCCTTGGGTGTGGCCACCCCACCTGTGGCGCATCGCACTCAGTGAAGAAAGAGGATGACCAAAAGAGAGAAAAAGCAAGCGAGCAAGTTCACACCGCCTTGCAAAGTTTCAAGCAGTAGTTGCATGGGGCCCAATTCTTGCAGAAATTTTGCGGAGTGCTGAGTGGTCTTACAACACCTGGCGATATGAGGTTTGGCTCCCCTCCTTGGCAGCCTGCAGCACCACGACTGCATCACTTCAGCGTTCAGCCGATATTTGGGACTGCTGGTCAGAGTTCGTGGCCCTTAGTGAAGGTCGTTTTACTCCGAGAAATGTCGTGCCTGTCCTGCCAGCCACTTCGGCTCGAGTCGAAACAAAGCAGCACCTCGCAGCTGTTCTCCCCTTGTGCGGTCTGACTTGAACATGCCGAGGCAACAATGCTGCGGTTCAGGTGTTCGGGGTAGATCCGATTCGGCTGAGCCTGTTCTACTGCTGTTTTGTGCTCTGAAACACACAGTCGCTGGAGGCACAGCAACAGCTACGCGTGCGGAATGGACATTCCGGAGGTGGGTGAGAGATTTCATCAAACTGGGCATTCAAGTAATCCGGACGATGTGTCTCCAGAAGCGACCCGGTCCAGGTGGCCTTCGACAAGCGGTGCCGCCGTTCTTCGCACCGGCCAATGGGCGGAACCAAGGCCTTCAGGGCTGGCAGAGAGCTTCTAAGGCAGTTCGGAGGCAGTTCGATCCGCGCGGAGGGGACAAACGGTCGTGTTTCGATGTGTCGCTTCACGCGAGCCGCGTTCTCACCTGCACTTGCAGTGCCAGCAGGTGCAGAAGCATCCTGGAAAGCCCCTTGCATGCGTGAATGTAATTCGTTGGGATGGTGTCATGTTGTGCGTAGATGTCTTAATCGCCAAGCCCCAAGGCAATCACTGGATCTTGAACGAGGAGTCCATCTCAGTAGCATTGATGACACTTGGGCCTGAGTCAAAGGATGCTGGGATGTTATTCTGCTTCTGCAAAGTGCTTCACAGAACTGAGGAGCACGAGTTCTGGTACGAGTCCGACGATCAGGAGGTCTCGGATCAAACCACGGCATCGCCTGAAGCGGAAGAGGAGGCAGGGGAGGTTGGAGGGTAGGAAAGGCTCGGGGTTGGCCGTCGTCCGTCCAGGATGACTTTGATGAGAGTGGCTGGGACTTTGTAGCAGAGCCTGTGAAAGAGGACGGCCAGGGTCCTCATGAACTGCTGTTTCCTCTTTGGAGTTAGTGCCTGCGCCGCTGCAACATGCGATACTGGCGATACTGATACCAATTGGCATGTGGAGGAGGCGAGGGAGGAGTGGCCTTCCTTGCAAGGCTGCTGGTGCACTGCTGTGGTTATAGTGGGAAATTCGAAATTCCACGCGGACCCTGAAACTCGTATTTTTTGCGAAGTTGGCAGGAAATTCAGCCTTGGATGCACTGGAGACGATGAGCATGGCCTGCGGCCCGGCTTCAGCTGAATTTCAAGCTGTCCACTCAGCACCCCGAGGCCAGCGACTTGACTCTGTGCTCTTGGGTGGACGTTGCTGACGAGGCGTGGAAGAGAAGGGCCTGGCTGGCTCCCAAAGTCCAAGCTCGTGGCCAGGACAGCGACGCTGTCTCACCGCAAGCGCCCCCCACCTGGGCCGCCCGCCTGGGCTCCAAGGCTGCAAGAAGAGGACCATGTCATCCCGCGGAGAGCGCGGCTCAGGCTGAGGGATGAAGGAAAACCAAAAGAGAGTGGACCAAGTAAACTTAAGAACTTAAGGAGCTTCACCTCCAGGTCGCCAGCTGTGCAAAAACCCTTAAGTATGAAACAGGTGGCAAGCTTCCAGAGACCCACGCCATGTTGATCGCTTGCATGGTATCGAAAGGGTATGACCTGGGTAATGGAAGGAGTTGGTAAGCGAGTGGTGGGATTGTCGCACTTGTACACAACGGCCAACATTCTTACAACGATCAACACAAGACGAAGTCTGGCACGTAGGCACAAGCACCGCGCCACGGCCTCCCAAGGCAGGTGCTGTTTGGTGCAATTGCGGATCTTGAGCTGTGAGGATTACGAAAGTTGGCTTTGGCTTTGGATTTCTGTAGCAGTTCAAGCCCTTGACAGGTCCAGGGCTCATGTGATTAGACACCCATCGCCAATCACGCGAGGGGTCAGACCTGCCACAGGCGGCCCTGCCCTGGGCCCATCGGCGTCCGCGTGCTCGAAACGCCAGCGTCGTGCCGGAAGGCAGAGTCTCGCTTGGGGGCTGAGCGCAAGGTTTTTTTGCCCGACTTGTCGAGGTCATGACATCGAAGATGCAGCCGATGTCGCGGCGCTGCGCTCCTGGAATAAGTGGCAGAAGTCAAGCCGAAACACCAAGGCCAAAGCAGCTTTAGCTGGTGAAGAGGAAGAATATGAATCAATGACATGACATGTTTTGCCGAGGGCTGCTAGGGGGTCTCTGGCACAGATCACAGACCGCTGCAGGCCATGCAGAAGACCGCAGAGAAGATCCATCGCCGACTCGAGCAGAGCCGGCGTGCCAAGGCCGTTGCCATCCTTTGCCATCCGTTGCCCATTCAGGAGTAGAGTCCCTTTCATTTCCTTTCTACGGGTAGCTCACTGCGCCTGTTTTGCAGGGAGACGAGCTATGAGAGGATACCAAAAGCTGCCGACTGGCTTAAGATGAGGTAAAGAGTGCCGTCCTGGCCAGCGACGGGCATCCCAAGATTGCCTATGGCCATATATGGTCCCTATATGGCCTATATGGCCCATGCCAGGTCGAGTCACGTAGGGGCTGGTGTTTCGCATGATGTACTTTCCGTCGCGACCTTCTTTCTTAAGCCAGAAGGCGCTTGTCCTGCTCGACTTTGTACATAGCCAGGCCCAGGAAGAAACCTCATGCTACCAGTGCGACTCTGCGCACTGCGGCGGGTGTCAGGAGTGCAGGGCAGCGAGAACACCAGGAGACACCATGCTCGATGCATGGGTGGGGCCAAAACATTTTAAAGAGCAGGGTATTTCTTCAGTACATCAGTAGCTTTTGGTAATTGAGACCAGCTGTCCGAAACCGAGCAGACGGTCTGAGTTTGCAAGAGACCCGCAGCTCGAGCCGTTTTGCAAGACGAGGCACCCCGTCCCGCAAGGATTGCAGTAAGCTCAGTAAAGTCAGGGACACGGCTGCGCCGAATTCACTGCTGCGGAACGGGCTGGGTACGGAGGTGCTGTACAGACTCTTGCCCGACTGGCCGACTGCAAGGTCTTAATCACGAAACGTTGCTTCGCCACATGCGGAGCTTCCAGCCGTATCCAGCCGTCACAGGAGGATGTACTTTCAGAAGGAGACAGTGAAAGTCGCTGCACTGCTGGAAGCTGCGTTGCAAAGCGTTTGATGCCGGGACGGGCCAAGCGGCCTTCTCTTCCCCTGGCTCTGCCAAATGAAGGGTCGCTGCCATGTCACGTAGTGTACAGCCGTGCAGCCTGGGAAGATGCTGCCGCAAACGCAAAAGTTCGGCCATGCCCTGCCCACATGGCCCGGGTCAGCCAGGCTGCCACAGGTGTCAGGCGTGTGGCACATGTTATGAGCTGGCTCAACGAGTCTTCTTGATTTCGGAAACAGCTTGAGTTGCCTATGGTCTTGGCAGATCGGTGTTCCATCAAACTGATGTACGTCTGACGAGGTTGAGAAGGAGGAGAGACCAGTGGAGAAGAAGGAGCCTCCAAAGCCAAAGCCGAAGCCGAAGGAAGAGAAGCTTGATGCTGAGCATCGCAGTCATCACTTCAGAAGCTTCCGTTTTCGGATGAGTGGCAGACGCCAATGTTGTAAAATCTGGTGCCCTGTCATGCCTGCAGAATGTTGGAAGAGTTGGCGGAACCCGAACTCAGGCCTCCGCAGGCACTGACGGTGACGCTTACCAGGCTGATGGTGGCACGGGACTGTGTGTCGGTAGTCCGCGTCCAACTCCTTGCATCGCGCTTCATCTGCGTTTTCTCGCCTGTCTCTAGCATCGCTGTTGCAGTTATCTTCAATTACAGGATATTACAGGTACTCGTAGTGTTTGCCGGCAATGCCAGGTTCAGTACCTGGGAAGACCCGACTCCACAGAGGCCCGCCTTCCAGTCGCCTCATGCAGCATCTGTCGTCGAGGCTCAGGCCAGGGCTCGTGCTGGTGCTGTTCGCCCGTCGCAGGTTCCAGGTGGAGCTTATGTCCAACACCAAAGTCTCGGAGCTGCGAGCGAAAATCGCAGAGGCATTGCAAGTTTCCCGCAACAGCATTCTGTTGGTCCTCTGACCACTTGCAACATTGTACCCCATATAATTGGGTGAGTCAGCCGACTTGAACTGTCGGACGCGTCGCTTGATGCTGCGCTTCTTTCGCCCTCATTTTGTTCTCTGCTCAACATGCTTAGTGTACTTACTTTGCATGAGATCCTTCATTTCCCCGGCATTGATTGGCCGGTTGCGCTCCTGCCTACTTCCCTGCTGCTGACAGCTTTGTGCACTGGGCGACTCCGAGACCCGGAAAGTGAAGCTCATCAAGAGGACGGCTGACTGCAAAATCGAGCATGTTGCAAGCTTCTGCAAGCAAACTGCGCTTTCGATCTGTGCCAGGAAAAAAGCTGGCTTCGTGACCGCTCAGGCCGCCGACTAATTAAGCTGCCATCTCTCGTGCAATATCTTGTAATCTAAGTTTGACAATCTCAGGAGACGGAGAGTGTCTCCAGCGAAGTCTTCGTCCATCAGATAGAAAAGCCAGCAGCCTCAGCTTGAAGCGTGCCGATGTGCTTGAACTGCAGCATGCGACTTCATCGCCGTGGCTGTATTCTTGTGGCTAAGGTGGCCGAAGTGAAGCGCTTCACCTTTTGGCACATTGATTGTATGGATTGTATGAATAATTCGTTTTTGCATCTCATCCGATACGACGGATTGCTGGCTGTCAGCGGAACCTTGTAAGGTCTCCGAGATCTTTCGTCCTGCTGCCAACGCAGTGTGGACATCTCTTCGCATGGGGGTGGCCCGAAATGCCTTCGAAGCCTTACAACTTAAGATTCCTTGAGACTCAAGACCACAGGAGCTCTGCAGCCCCACAGACTGCTAGCAGCAGATCGTCTCTTGCTCGCTCCTCCCGCCTCCCCGATGCTCAAAGGCACGGCAAGCCCTGGACAGCGATGGCAGCAACTAAAAGAATCAGAATAATTCTACGGAGTAGGATGCATTGCGGGCCATAGGGCACGCATGCACACACACAGTCGGGCAGGATCAGGGCACGATCAGCCAAGCAGTCCAGGATCGCTGCTGGCTTTGGATTTTTTGCGACCGGCAGATCTCAAACTGGGATTGGTCGGATTAGGCGCCTTTCCGGTTGATCCGGGGCTGCAGGCTGCAGGGTGTCTGTGCCACGGATACCTCTGAGCTCCTAGGCTTTCAGCTGGATTTTTTCTGCTCTCAGAGCTTCGGCCCTCAAGCATGCACAAGCTTCGATTGCAAGCCGCAGCATGCATGAGGTGCTCAAAGAAGCACTGGAACCTGCTAGATGCTGGCTGTAGAAGTGCTTTGGCCAGCTCTGCCGGTTGGACTTTTGGTTTTCCCAGATGGGCTCTTCCTACGATTGCCCCTCTCTCTTACTCTTCCAGCTGATGCCCCTGCTCGGTGGCATGTGAGAGCAGATCCTACCGTATCAGATGGCCCACAACGTAAGGATCATCTGCTGTGATTTGCAACACAGCTGCCGGCATGTTTTCCACCATTGATGCTGGTGACGTAAAGATCAGCCAGCAGTTGCTCCCCGTGAGTCGTTGCTACTCCAGAGAATTTCCCGTCTTCACGGTACTGCGACAAACTACCCAAGGCCTCGTGATGGTTCGAATGGGAGTCCAGAACTGAGGTTTTGTATCTCCGCAGCGTCAATGACTTCGGCTTGGTGCCCCATGCAGCGAGAGATGGCTGGATGGGAGCACTTGATGTCCTAAGTAGTCTCTGGTAGTCTACTGCCATGTCTGTGCCATCCCGGCCAGTGCCGAGCTCAGAGCCTTCTTCGGTGGTCTGCCGGGAGCGTGCACGGGCTGCGAATTTTGCTGCAGTCAAAGCGACTGCTCAGTGCCAGCAACGTGCCCTTCTCTGGGGGGCATACGTGAGCACCAAACGAGGTCTCCGAAGCCCCCCAGCCCGAAGCAGCGCTTCTTTCAGGTCAGGTGCTGTAAAGCCACGAAGCTGCCCAGATAGCCCAGCCAAGGGTAACGACTGTCAAGAGTTTAAGATTTGCTAGAGGGTGGCGACAGCTGAGACAAGTGGAGACTAGTGAGCAAGGATCGCTGTTTACGGCAGTTTACGGCAGACTAGGGCCGCTTGTGCGGAAGGAAGCTTTGATACTTTTGATTGTGGGGCAGGCAGCGTGACCCCGCAGCTGACCTGAAATCCAGACGATTTTTTCCATTGCAAGGACCACGTTCTCAGCTTTGATGCTGGGTTATTTGAGTCTTCCGAAGGCCGGGTCCAAGAGATGATCGGCAGCCAGCTTCCACATGCAGATTCACGTTCTCCTTGTCGGATAAGCAAAGCAGAGGAGCTGAGTGCCAAGAGACCTGACTGTGCTTAGCCTGACCTCACCGCGGCTGAAGAGTTCAGCCATGAGGAATTGTGCCAAATCCGAGCAGCTGAGCAGCTGTGCAGAGCCTTTGCAGCTGAAAGGCTTAAAGGAGATGGCTACTTTCCAAGAAAGACATCTGCGAACAAGCGGATGCAAAGCGGTGATTGTTTCCCCCACGTCGCATGGTGAGCCTTCAGTGCGAAGGATGAAAGAAGTGACGCCGTGCTGCTGTAATCAGAGTATGACAGAGTACGTGTTATCTGACATGAAGTTCTTGCGCTCGTGGCAGAGGTGGTTTTGACA